CATCTTAGCTAATGCCGTCCAATTACTAACCACCCGACAGGAAATGAACGAGTTCATCAAACGCCTCGAGGACGAAGCCAAGCTCCAGGCCCAACTCACCCGCATCTCGACTCGCTTCAACGCCCTGCGCTCTTCCCAGCTGAACTGGCCCGAGGCCCGCCAGATTGGCGACAGTATCAACGAGCTCATGGCGTCCAGCAAGGGTATGATCTTCGACGCCGGTGTCATGCGTAAGAGAAGCAAAGTACCGGCCTACCCCGGTACACTGAAGCTGGTGAGATCGACCGTACCCCATGATCCTAACGGAAGATGCTGACTTTGCCCACCCAGGCCTTGGACCGCGAGAACCCCATGTATGATGCCCTTTCTCTGCAAATGGACGCGTTCTTGGCTCTTGAGGATATTACTGCAAAGATTGAGCATGTCCGTTCTAGAATGCGGGAGAAGAATGGCCAGTGAGTATTGAAAGACGACCGTGAAAGGACTGGCTTTGTGGGTTGATAACATGGTTTTTGAGGTGCACAAACATCCTAGCTTGGCATTAATAAAGAACAATCTTCCTGTACCCCCCTAACTTTGACCTTTGATTCCTGCTTTCGAGCATGCTGCCGCCTGCGGCCACATTGGAAGGCTTGATGACCCTGACCTGATGGAAACAACAATTCCCAGGATAGTTCAGAGAGACCTCTTCAGCTGAACCTCAGGATGTATGAAGAGAGCACAAGTTCCAAGGGCAGCTCTCCCTCCAAGTCGCATCAAAACCGATACTTCGTTCCTCCAACAAGATATTCAAGTCACCTTCACCATACCAAATCAAAATCTCGACATCTGCTATCTTGAGAGCGGTTCCAGCTTCACGAAAATCTCGACAAAGCACAGAAATAAAGTCTGTACGTCTCTCAAATCTCACTGAACCACAAAGTCGCTATTATTAACAGTGAACGTATCCATTTCTCGCTTCAAGCCAAGTCCACCTCTTGATCCATTACAAAGCAGGGCGGAAGTCGCCGCTCCAGGCTCTTGAATCTCAATCTCGTTCCAATGGGGTCCTCCAATAAATGATGGCTTTCTCAAACACGATTCGAACCTGCTCTTTTTGAGCGACTGCTCGCGCCGGATGACCTTGCAGTCGTCCCAGAACCGCGCCCTCCCAGATTCAACCTCTGCATTCTTTCGCTGAGCTGGATTTCAGTCACAAGATCGTACCAAGGTTTGAGACCATAATTATACATTGAGCCGCATACACCTCGTCCGCTACGATAGCGTAACGGTATCAAATCGTCTCCATGCGTGTCCCGGTCATCATCGGTCGAATTCCCGTCGGGGTCGCAGATGTTCATTGGTGAAGCAGCAGATCGTGCAGCAGCGGCAGCAGCGGGGATAGAAGCTTTGTGCTGCATGTCAAAAACTTCGTGCCATTTTTGAAGCAAATTCAAACTCTCCTCATCCGAATCTTCGTTGAGAGGCGTTGAATGCTGCGCTGTCACGCTGTTGGCCTCAGAGGCGAGAGGGGTTCGTCTCTTCCTGACTGGGTGGATTCGCCTCCAGCGCCTCTGGGACGTCTCGCCGTCGGAAAGAGACTTCTTGCAGCACCCGACTCTGACGAGATGATCTTCCTCCTCGCCGGTACCACTTTGCTGGAGCTTCTGGCGCTTGTGGGGTATCTCGAAGTAGGATAGAGATCCCGCTCTCTTCCGGGAGCTGTTGGGTGTGACATTCACGGGAGCTTGCTTCATTTTGACTGGGGTCCTGTTAGCAACGTGCGTGGAGATGAACAAGGCGAAACTTGCTTGATTACTTCAAGTGCGTATTGACGCAACGTGCAAATCCTTCGTGCGTGCTGGCGATGCTTCTGATGATGATGTTGATGAATAGAGAGATGTGGTACAAACGGCGGCGGTTCCAGTCGAGAGGTTGAAAGAAGGATGGGAGCATTTATGGCGGGTTGGAGAACTTCGGCAGAGGAAAGACGGACGCCAGCGATGCCCAGAACGACAGGAACGACAGGGACGCCAGGAACGCCAGGAAGAGGAAGGACGGACGTCAGGGGATAAAAGTTGGCAATCGCGGGTTGACTCGAATTTGGTAGGTACAGTTATCAATCGGCCGCCTGACCCAATGTGCCGCTTGTGGCCCGCTTAGAGGGGGACCTTCTTTAAAAAAGGGATTGAGAACCAGAAGTCGCCGGATGACGCCTGGCGTCTCTGGTGTCTTTACCGAGAAGAGGCGCTCAAGTGGTCGGCAATGGAAGGAACACTGCGAGAAGAACTAGCAATGATTTGATGCTGCATGATGGGATGCTACTTCATTTCGATTGTGCCAGGCTGATCATCTACCCCTGCCTAACAGTCTCTCAAGCTTTCGCGGAAATTCCCTTGCAAATATGCCAATCCGGAACGTACTGCCAAAGTCCTAGAGGACGATGATTTTGATGAGAAGATACTCCTTCAGGATTGGTCTCCTTGGTGCTGGCCTTCTGGGCGGTATTCCTCTTACTGCTGATGAACTCCTAACAGCGAGCGAGGAAGGAGACGCGTCTGATAGTCCAGTCCTTGTGTTCCTCCTCTCCTCTTGCTGCTTCTTCCTCCATGAGGGCAGGCGGCATGACAGAGTGGATTGACAGCGTCCTCCGATCCTGTGTCTTCAAGTTAAGAAGATCCTCCAGAAGCCCATCACCTTTCTCCAACAGCTCTTCCAGGGTGCAAATGCCGTCAGCGTTGTCGCCGTCAACGTCTTTGTCGCCTTCCTTGCGAATGGACTCCATACAGACACCTTTGTTCTCGAGATTCTTCATGGCACGCTTCTTCTTGCTGCGTGAGGTGCTCCTACATCTTGAGTAGTGCGGCAGTAAAAGTAAATTTAGCAGTAGAAGAGGGAAGTGACAAGATGATGGTCATTACCTTGAGTCAAGTGCCTATGGGAGAAAGCAAGCTCAGTGGTAAGCGGTTTTGTGAAACAAAGAAGATTGGCCTCCTGTCGCTGTGGTGTATTGACAAAAGGCTGGGTGGGCTGTTGCAGTCGAGGTGCGAGATTCGAAATGGCAGCAACGCAAGTGGAGCCTGGAATTCTGCAGACAGCAAGCAGGTGTGCTGGGAGTATGGCCAAAGATAGAAAGTCTCATGCGCCCGGACTTGGCCTCTCCTTCCTTTCCCTCAGAGATAAAGGTGAATGTGACCAGTGAGCCTTAAGTAGACAGCCACAAAGGTGCACCAGTATTTCCAAAGAATTCCATCCATATAATAAACAGCTTCTTCAACACGCTTTCATTACTTTCAGCCATCACATCAATTTAGTTTAATGAGAAAACAACTCCACGCAAGGGCAAGTATTTCACAAAGGCAAAAAGTAAAATAAAACTTCAAACTTCAGAGAGCAGCAAAAGCAAAAGATGGGACACGCGTCCCCACCTCTAGGCCCTTTTCTTGTAAGAAAATCGCGTGACGAGATTCGAACTTAGCGCCCCTCCAGGATAACCAGAAATCCACCCGAGGAATTTGTTTGAAGCTAGATGATTACTAACTGGGTCACGCCGTCGCTGTTGAACTGGTTGAAAGGGATGGGACGAAAGTTTCTTGAGTAGGGAGAACGCTGGATCGGGAAGGCAGGTAGGTAGGTAGTAGGGCTGCCGAGTGGAGCTGTGATATTGCCTGGCTAACTTTCAAAGAGCTCCGATGCTGCCGCTGCGCTTCTATGGCGTTCCAATCTGCGATAAGGATCTGCTTATCTCCCAACCTCTTTGAGGTGCCTTTTTGCTGTAGGCCTCCTTTACTCTTTGCTCGCACCGTAACGCATGGTCTCCAAGTAGCGCACGATCGCCTCAACTTCCTCGATCAGATTCTCTTCTCCGAAAGGCTTGTCAGCCAAGAGAGCTCCCGTCTGCTCAACGGCGGCTTCCCAGCCGTGGGTAGTCGCACTCTGCTGGAGCAACTCCAAATCATCGAAAATTTCCTTCGCGACTCGCGCAATGAGCTCTTGCCACATCTGAGCTCTGTCCTTGGAGAACTGGTGCTTGGCACGTGCCGTGCGCAAAGCAAACTCCGTCACGACTTCGGCCTTCTTGCTCTCCACGGCCTTAGGGTGCGTTAGCAAGGGCAAGAGGCTGCAAAACTGTATCATTACTTACGGCGTAGGCAGGGAGGTCCGCATAAGCCGGGGGAACCGAGTCGTCGGCAAGCTGCTCGCGTGGCCGTAGGGCGCTGTGGTTGAGAAGTCAGCAAAGCAGCAAGCATAGAAGTCGGAGCCGTTTGTACGTTCACTATCCCCCCAGAACTATATCGGACAAGACAAGAAGCTCTGTTGCTTCTGTAAGATGCAGACAGATGTCTTTGCGGCTCATAAGAATAAGGAGCCCAGTGGAAAGAAGATGACATGGAGTGGGGGGGCTAGAGGTTGAGGTGAGTTTTCGTCCAGTGCAACGTACCAGTTTGCATGCTCACGAACAAACATGTGTATAAAAGCCTCCTTCGACAGGGCGAATGGGCTGAGTCTGGGAGCGCTCTTGACACCGCCCTTGACACCGCCCTTGAAACCGCTCTTGGAACGGTTGAAGAGGTTGAGTCTCGCCATCGTTACGTTAGAGAGAGGGAAAATTGGTTGTGGTGTTACGGGGGAAAAACGGCCGCCCCTGGCGACTCGCACCCCCTTCATATACTTATGCTCTAGCCATAAAGGTTTCACTACAGAGTTTTCTAGGTCCACCATTGCCTTCATATATCGCAAATAGAATTCAAGAAGGTGTGGCCGCAACGGTGACCCCACATACTATGACCACAATGTTGACACTGCAGTCACACGGCTGCCCGGTACACTGATCGAAGCTCGAAGTCTTCTGAAATTAAATTCATTGGAGGGCACCAGTGGGGCAAAATGACTTCCTTCCCAAATGCAACCACCGGCCAGGAGCGCCTTCTTCAGCCACAACAACGGTCGACGGCCAGCGAGGGACGCAAGCAACCGACACCATTTCTATTCAAACCTTGCTGTCTCTGCTTAAGGTCAAGATGGGGGATGCCAAACTCCTCAAACCCGTTGAGGCTCTTGTTCTCCCATCTCCTTCGCCGAATCAGCGCCTTTCGGGCCCTGCCAACAAAGCCGCGGTCAATGCCGAGCCTTTCACATACGACGACGCCGTCGCCCTTCATTGTCAAATCGAAGTTTTCCAGCGGTCGTACCAAAAGGAGGGATACAAAGTCCCAGACAATGCGGTACGTTGGATTTTCCCCCCTTGCCTCACCTCCGTCCCTTCCCGACATACATTTGACTGCTCATCCCCGGCATCGTCGATTCTGTTGCTGACAGTGCTCTTGTTCTCAGTCCTCCCGAGAGATCGAACTGGCCATGATCCGAGGAACCCTCAACCTGCGCATCCATGAAATCCGTCTCGCCCTCTTCCACAACTTCGTCGCCTTCCCTACCCCGACAGCCTCCTTTTCGGCTTCTCATCCCACCACGAGTCTTTTCAGAGACTACCAGAACACTCTCACCTCCGCGACCGAGGCTTGGGCAAAGTTCCTTGAAGAGAAGCGTTACCATCGCGATGAGCAATCCCAGCGCCGGCGCTAGGAGCGCGAGCGCCGCCGGGCCTCATCGTCGCAAGAGGAGTGGTGGGAGGCTGCGCGCCAAGAGCAGGAGGACGTGGACTACGATGCCGATGCAGACGATGAAGGCTCATGCGGAGTCAGCCAGCCCCTTTGTCGGAAGAAAAATGAGATGAAGGAGCGAGCCACCCTGTATCGCGCCGTGAAGCAGGAGATGAGAAGACGCGGCGACCTACTCACCAAGAATGAGGAGTCCGACAATGCGGTTGCGCGCCGCCGAAGCAACTTCAGCCTCCCTGAGCACGTCAAGACAAAGGACGACCTCCTCATCTACCTCAACCAGCTTGGTCTGCGCTACACGCCCCGCACGGCTACACAGAGACGCCGGTCGAGACTTCGAATGCTTGTGGCGCCTTGATGGGTCATGGCCTGCAGATGTTGAAAGTGCTGGAATGCGAAGTTTATGATATTGGAGAGTGTTTGGAAGGTCTTTGGCATGAGGAAACTATGCGACAATCGAAGATGATGGTTTGGGGGAAAATGCTGTTGTATTACTCGGGATCTCGTCTACGCAAGAAGGATAAATGGAAATTGCTGTGGTAGCAAACCAATCCTCTACCTTCTTGCAAACTCAGGAGGGAAAATGCGTCTGATTACCAAGTTCAAGCTATCCGAATTGTTCGCCGCAGATGCTCAGTAGCTTGATGGCCGTCGACATCGTATTTCAATCATTACTGAAGGGTTTTGCTCGACAGAAAGTTTCAAGAGCTGCTGATTCTCGGCATACCCCTTTTGTTTTCGGCGTTTGCGGTCCTGGTGTTGAAATCAGTTGCAACCTGCGGCCCCCCTGCTGTCTTCGTCCTCGGTCATCATCTGGTATCGTCGTCTTCTTTGCTATCGTCGCCATGATATATCGTCATCATCCGCCAGAGTAGCAACGCTCATTGAAACAGCAGAAAGCATAGTGCTAACGATGATATTGGCCTACTCTATAACCAACGAATAAGACATTGCAGTGTGGGCTGCCACCGTCCCTTCTCAAACCCGAAGTTCACATCACGATTGCAGGATTCTCCGAATCCAACACAGCCTCTTTTGAAATATTTTTCCCACCAACAGTCTCAGTTCCGTCTCCTCCCAGCTCCTCGTCGTCCAGCTTCGTGTCGTCTAGCATCTCTGGGTTTATTGCCCTGGAGCCCTTCGGAATGAACGTGGCGAGCAGTACGATGCAGAAAATGACAGTGAACTGCACGCCGGCAGTGTAAGTCAGGGCTGTGCTGACTTCCCCCAACCTGTTGTACATCGCGTCGATATATCGTCCTAGGAAGGTGCTGGAAATGGCGTAAGACACGACATAAAATGAGTAAAGGAATGCCATGACAGCTGCCAAGGGCGATACGTTGTGCTCCTTGTTCTCGAGGCGAGCCAGAGAGGCTTGGATGTACGCGGCAAGAGACACGTCGCCAGCCGCCCAACCGAAGCTAATGGGGAGGAACGTGGCGGCAACGATCCATGCTTGTCCGACTTGTCTGGGTGGAGGATTCCAGTAGGGGATGTACCAGACAATAAGCAAGAGCAGAGCGTCCAGCCGAAGCCAAGGGATGGGCGTCTTGATCACGTTGGTGAATAAAAATACGAACAGCGCACCCAGTAGCTCTCCGAAGTTCGAACCGCCGACCATGATCTGCGACCAAGCTGACTCGTCAAGATATCGTCGGGCAACCTGCGGCGCGATGCCGTTCTCAAGATATCTGTGGGCATACAGCGCGACGCCGTAAGCAGGCAAGAGCCACACAAAACGACGAGAGCTGAAAATAATCTTCGCGCCGACCCAGATGGACTCGAAGAAGGTGAGAAAGCCCTTGCCCACGGCGACAAAGTAGTTGGAGCTCTGAGCTTCCGCGCGTGCGAGTGCGTTACGCTCCGCGCTGGCGTCAACGACAAAGAACCAGAGAATGGCAGCGAGGGCGAAGCAGATTGGCGTGATGACGAAGGAGCGGTTGTTTCCCAGGTTCGGGATCAAGACCAGGGCAGTCACGAAAGCGCCGGTGGTGCCCGCGACTTCGTAGAATATGTGCACCATGGCGTCCATCTGGCGGAGCTTCTGGACGTTGCCGCCGACGATGTCTCGCGGGATGACGCGGCGGATGAGCTCGACCATGCCGTAGGTGATGCCTGCGATGGCGTAGATGGGGATGATGGTGTCGTTTGGGTAGTTGCCGTAGTATGGCCAATAGTCTTCCGGGTGGTTCTTTCGATATTCTGAAGGGATGAAGGTCCCTCCCGTAGCAGCGTCGAGGATGAGGAGGATGGCTGTCATTAACCCAAACAGCAGGATGGCTGCTGAGAGGACGTTTTTGGTTTTGTAGTGCTTGATGAGGGGTCCGATGAGGATAGATCCAACGCACTGCGTGGCCTGGTTCAGACCTTGGATCAAGCCCAGTCGCTCGAACGTTCGCGACGGGGTTCCGGCGGTAGAGCTCTCGTAGTCGTATCTGTTGGTGACCAGGGCAGTGATGGAGCCGTTGAATGCCTCTAAGCCGAATTTATAGAGCATGATGCCACAGATGTAGAAGAAGATCGCCTTGCGCTCTTGGGGCGAAAAGGACCGGAGCCTGTCGCGAAACCCGTTGAAGACCATGCTGGGCAGTGGCGGCGAGGACGGTCGAGGGCGACAGTGACGAGGACGATGGTGGCGACTGGTAACAGGGTCGAATATTAACAGACCGAGGAATCGTAATGGGAGCTCTTCGCCATGTGATGATCGTTAGGGGCTGCGAAGAGGATAAGAAGTAGGAAGGATATGTCGCGTTCTTATTCCTAGCTTCTTTGGAAACCAGCAGGGTAGTTGGGTGTTTCCCGCATGACAAAGCTGTACGTGACGCTGGTCCGAACGTCTCCATTTCTGGCATGTCGAAATCACAACGGTCGGTATTGCTCAATGTTCATCTACTCGCTGGTCAGTAGTGTTCATCCCTCACGTTTTCTTGGCATCCGCACTTGGCCAAGACTCACCATCATACATCCCCTCACGTTGCCAAGAATCGGGCGGCCTCTTCGTCCCAAGATTTTATGGGCGCTGAGCATGGAAGGAGCAAGACTTATGAGAACCTGGTGAGCCACTCGAAAGTTTCGCTTCGGCAACGTGCGTGGTGCTCAGAGAACGCGTGAAGCTGCCTCTCAAGGTTGCTGATGGCGCAACTTGAGGAACCTTGGGATCAACCAACATAGATAAGATGTTTTTGTTGGGGGCTTGCTTATTGGTTGTATTCGTGGCCCTTGCTCAGAAAAGAAGACGACGATGTAGACAGTAGATGATGATAGTGGGCAGTGATAGTGGCCGACGACGACAGTAGAGGCGGCGACGACGACGAAACAACACACAGAAAACCCAAACTGCCATGTGCTCGAACGGTTGGATGGCAGCTTCTCAAGTACTCTGGGGCTTTGCGCCATTTTTCTAAATGCCAAGCCACGCCAGAAGCATAAGAAGCAGCCATCTCGCAGTCGCCCGGCTTGCCAAGAGCACAGCATTTGCCAAGACATCGAATTGCCATCATATCGCTCAGCGAACGACGACTTTATTAGACTGCCGAACAAGCATTGGAGCGACAACACAGCCTCCTTCGACAATCACCCAATCAGTCAATCCAACACTCGATCGTGATCTTGGACGCCCTGATGCACAGCCCCCTACCACATTAGACGACGATAGCAGACGACGACGGTGGATGACAGCAGCAGAGCTGGCAGCGACAGTCGAAATGGCAACAACAGCAGAAGCGGCGACAACAGCAACGAAGAAGATAGAGAAGAAGACGTAGTGGCCGGAATGGTGCGGAGGATTTGAACGCGAATAGTCAGGATTGGATCGCGAACGAGAGGTTGACCCTTTTCAAGCAGTTTGTGAGAAAGATGTTCTTGCGGTGTGGTCTATGCCGTGCAAAGCCTCTCGTGATAGAGGTTCCCGTCAGTCGACAAAACATTACATCTCAAGGCATCTTGGAACTTCAGTCTGATGTCTCGGGTGCCTCAACTTGACGTTTTGGACATGCCCTGCTTTAATAGTCGGAGTGTCTCGATGCAATGTGGCTGGAGCACGACTTGGAGGACACCGCCTGCAATGCACTCCAGAACTCGATGCGACCCGAACCAACGCATAGAGCGGCCACTCGGACGAACTGGCGCAGACCGACGGTCAAACTTGAGCTGCCTTCGCGGAGCCGGAGCAAACCCGAGTGGGGCCGAGCAGCGGAGTTTGAGCTACCGGCGCGACCACCCGGCGGACTTCGCAAGCCGCGGGGCCCGGGGCTTACAAAGAGACATCTGGATGTCTTCATGACGAGAAATCTGGTGTATATAAGTTATTTGGCGTTCACGATGCTTGATATTCAGATCAAACAAGGAAACGTATCCATCAAAAGCCACTCAACATCGAATCCACCATGACTTACACCATCACCGTTGTTCCCGCCTCGACCCAGGCTGGAAGAGAGACCATCAGGGCCATCCTAAATGACGGTTCCAATCCCATTGTTCGTGGGATCTATCGCGACCCGACCAAGGCACTTCCCGAGTTCACCGCCAGCCCGAACTTCACCGCAGCCCAAGGCGACGTGTCCGCCAGCCCCCTGGACTTCACCGGCTCAGACGCCGTATTCTACATCCCTCCCCCTCCATTTCACTTTGGCGATGTCGACCTAGTTGAATTCGCTACCAACGCAGCCAGCAACATCAAAGATGCCATTGAGAAAGCGGGCTCGGTTAAGAGGCTTTTGGTGTTCTCGGCCGTGGGGGCAGAGAACGACCACGGCATTGTAAGCATCTCAAACTTTGAAGGATTTGCGAGTGAGATTTGACTGACGGCGCGTTCAGGGCATCCTCAAGATCAACTACATCTCCGACAAGATCCTCCAGACCGCCGCGCCGGAGGTAGCCATCGTCAGGCCTGGCTACTTCGCGGAAAACTGGGCTGCGGCGTTTGAGACGGCCAAGGCCGAGCCGCCAGTGCTGTACTCGCCCATGACTCCTGTCGGCCACAAAGTTCCGATGGTAATTTGCTCCCTTCTTCGCCTGCCACTCACGATGAATTAATATTGACTGTGTCGCAGGTCAGCCTCATCGACATCCGCGGAACCTGCGCCCGCATCCTGCTCGACCTCGCAAACCCTTTGCCCCGGCGCACTCACGCCTTCGAGCTGTATGGACCTCGGCACTACAGCACGGAGGACGTCCGAGACGCGGTCGAGGAGATCACCGGCAAGAAGGTTGGTATCGTGGCGATCGAGGTGGGCCAATTGGCGGGATTCTACGCGCAGGAGGGCATCCCCGCGGGTTTGGTGCCGGAGATGGTGGAGTTCACGACTGCTGGTCTGCCGGGCGGGATTATGGAAGGCAAGTTTAGCGGGGATGAGGATACGGTTTGGGGCAAGGTCGAGCTGGTTGATGCGCTGCGACACGTCAACAAGGCGTGATGGTTGTAACGGATTCTAAGCATTGGTATCGAGTCTAGGTTCGCTCAGCAGGTCTATATCAATCTAATTCTCCAGTATAGCAAGTGCAGTCTTGCCGGAACCGGGCCCGTCAGTGGATACACATCAACGGCCCAAAACCATCCGACCACCTCATGCCCCCCATGATAATCACCATGATCGCAAAGCCCGCAACGACGCTCGTCATGCCGTAGATGTACGCATGCCGTCTCTTCAACGCCGAGAGCTCAGCGACCCACGTCGACACGGTAGTCAGACACCCGCAGAACCCGTCCTCGATGCCCTGCAACACCTGACACCCCACCAGACCCCCGAGCTCAGCGTGCCCAAGATCCCAGCACATGCCAAGCACAGCGACGCCGCTGATGTTGACTGCGAACGTCCCGAGCGGGAACGCGGGGATGCGCGAGTTGAGCAGCATGCTGACGTAGAAGCGTCCCAGACACCCCAACGGCGCAAAGACGAGCGAAAACAACGCCTGCCCGCGCCAAGCGTCGTGAGGGGGCCAGATGGACATCAGCACGGCGCCGATCCAGCAGCCCCAGCCCAAGACCACAGCGACGCGGTCAAAGACCTTGCGGCCGAGTGAGTATGAGATCGAGGGGGTGATCGGCTCCAGCGCGGCGCCGAGATGGGCGCCCACGAACAGCCCGCATAGTGATAGCCCGACGGTGCTGATGATCACAGCCATCATGGCCATGAAGGAGTACCCGCCATTCCTCGGCACGGGGCTCACGCCACCGGCACCAGGCAGATCGTTGCTCATGGCGAGGAACACATCCCGTATGAAGGATGAAAAGGAAGTGAACGACCCGCAGAACCCCGTCGCGAGTCCGATGTACAGTGGAATCGTCTTTTTCGTCGCCAGATGCGCCTTCTTTGCCGCCGCCAGATCCACCGACACGGTGTTCCCCCCAGCATCCGTCTCCCGGCGCGCTTTGCGGATCTGCTCGTCGTAGGTGGGCGTACCCCACTCGTGCCGGAAGAGCTTGCGGTCCTCGGCCAGAAAGCCCATGACGAGGCTCCCGCCGACGTTGGCCCAGAGGACGCCAAAAGACACCGGCGCGTCGGGGTACGTCGTCAGCGCCTGCAGCCCAAGCCGTGCGAGCGTGCCGAGAATGGCGAAGAAGACGAGGTACGAGACGGTGTAGATCTCCGTGGCGAGCTTGGAAACGTGCTTCTTGGCAGGCTTGTCCTCCGACAGCGGCGGCGAAGTCTCAGCCGACCCGTTCGGCGCTGCGTGGCCGTCTTGCATCTCGATATCGGTCGTCCGCCGCTCCCCGCTCCGTATCTGCTCGAGACTGGGCTTGCCGGCGCGGCTTCCCGACGGACTGTGGCCCACGGGGTCCGCGACGAGCTCGTCGAGGTTGCCGTATCCCGCCGGCGTGTCGTACTCAACGTCTTCATCCCGCGCATCGTCGTCGCTTGTCGAACCCATCAGCAAGGGCCTGCCAAACGTACCCCTCCGCTCGGGGTTGACCTCCTCCCCCTCCTCCACATTGTAAAGCTGGCCTGGTCGTCGCTCAGCGTCATGTGCGCGCGTGAGTTCGCGGGTATTGCCGTTTTCCATCCTGCGTGGCATTCTCTTCGGAGCGATGCATGACGACCAAGGTTCGAGATTGTCTATCCGTTCTGCGTCGCGTCGTGTTTTGCGCGCGGCGAGTCGATTCGTCTTCAGCCTTCGCAAAGACTTGTGATCGGCAAGAGGAGCATCTCTGCGAGAGAAGAGGAAAGAACGAGAGGAGGAAAATATTGCGCCAAAATAGGGTGGATGGAATGCTGGCACGTTGCTGCGTGGACGTCACAATTTTGGAGCCCTGATGGACGGGTAGAACGGCTACGTCGGCATGGGCGGCTGGGAAACAGGGCACTGGTAATGCTCAATGCTCACCGATGGTCAGAGCGTCGCTGTGGGGTGCTCTTCACCGAAAAGGCGGAGTACACCGAGGTGTGACATCAACAATGGGATTTGGGGGTCCATCCGGTCTTGGAGGAAGGAAATGGCATCTCCCTCAGACGATACCACAAAGAATGAACACATCAACTCAAGAAGAACACGTTTCTAATATCTACGATTCCTATCGAGCCTCCTTCTCCAGCCCCTCCAACCTCCCCCCTGCATCGTGTTCTATCTGCAAGCCAGCGCCTGCAGGGCGGCGACCTCCGACGCCTCACCGGACGCCGGAGTTTACCTCGAGTGAGGACCTACGGATAGGAGGGGCTGCACCAGCCAGTCCAGCTGGCCGCGGGCGGGCGGGCGCCAACGTGGGCTTACCTTATCTTATCAAGCCCCAAACTGCCCCTCCAATCCATGCACGATGCCCCACATAAGGTACCGGCGCTGATCAGGAGGACAAGGGACGGACGTCGAGCCCGGGGGCGGGCGGCGCGCGAACACCCCTCCTTCCATTGGGAGGTAGGTAGGTTCCTTAGGTAAGTCCGTCTCTCCCAGCCTCTGAGACTTGCTTCTGGCGGTCTATTTCTGTCGGCCTTTTTCTTTGGACTTCGTTCTGTCTCTCTTCAATTCCATCTGTACTCTGTTCTCGTGGATTGCTTCGGGTTTATTGCGTTTGGTAGTATTGAACAAGAAGAAAACCATACCCAACAACGATGTCGCTCCCTTCCAACGTGCACGTCTCCCAGCACCCCTGTCTGCGGGCGAAGCTCTCCCAGCTGCGATCCAAGTCGACCGCCGCGAAGGACGTGAAGACGCTCGTCCACGAGATCGGTCTGATTGTGGCGACGGAAGCACTCGCTGCTTCCACCAAGGCGACAGATGGCCCCAAGGTATGGTTCCCTTCTTTCTGGCGTGGTCCCAGAATCACAAGGTGCAGTGCTGATTACCCCTCCAGGATGCGACACCGCTAGGCTTCGAGTTCACCTCGACCGAAATCTCCCCCTCCCGCCTCTGCCTCGTTCCAATTCTCCGCTCAGGTCTCGGCATGGTCGAAGGTATGTAGTATATTCCTCCTCCTCGGCATCCATCACAAGGTAAACTAACCGACCCGCGCGCAGCCGTCCAGACGATCCTCCCAGGCCCCGTCCCCGTCCACCACCTCGGCCTCTACCGCGAGCCCTCCACCCTCGAGCCCGTCGAGTACTACAACAACCTGCCCAACCACATCTCCGCCGACGGCTCCAACCCGGACGTCAGCTCGCTCGCCATCATCCTCGACCCCGTCATCGCCACCGGCGGCACCTGCGCCGCCGCCATCCAGACGCTGCGCGAGTGGGGCGTCCAGCGCATCATCGTCATGTCCGTCATTGGCGCCACGGAGGGTGTGAAGCGCGCCGCGGGCGAGTGGGCCGACGCCACTGAGATCTGGATCGCCGGAGTTGATGAGGAGCTGACGCCCAACGGCATGCTGAAGCCCGGCGTGGGCGATGTGGGTGACCGCTTGTTCTTGACCATCGGGAAGTAAGGAACGGTGGATGGAGGAAGAGTGCGTGCTGGATTGCTTTTGGTGAGTTTCTTGGCACCGGACATGGCATTTTAGAAGGGAATCTTGGGGTGCTGGAGTTGAATATAATGTCATTTTATCCTGGGTATCCGAGTCTTATCATGATTTGAATGGCATGCCTTGAGCCAACCCCCCGTTACATCTGCGTGTACTTCTCTTCGTCAACCAAAGTCTTCTCTCTCCAGCAATCCTCAACCCAGTCGCCAGTGACGATGTGGGGGATCTTCCGCCTTGAGCTGACATCCTTTCTCAGGTCTTCCGCTGCCTGTCTTCGCTGGTCTCCATCCCCCACAACCACGATGTGCGTCGCTTGTTCATCATCCACGTCAGGTGTCAACCGAGCCCCGCCAAACCGAAGAAAGTTTCTTAGCCTTAGGACTTTGATGTTGTCTTCTCCAACATCATTCGCGTCGAGCAGGTGCACCAGGCAGCGGTGGAACATCGCCCCCTTCATCTCACCCACGCCGTGGCCCCGCTCCTCCAGCTGCTCCAGGAAGTGCGCCTTGTTGAACGGCTCCATATCCGGTTCCTTCTTTGGCACCTCTTTGAACACTTGGCGGAGCTCATCGACACTGATGTCCCGAGCATAACTATCACCGTACATGTCCGTATTTTGGATAGCGGCAGTCTTCAGAGCCTCGGTGGCGTGCAGGATATGCCGCTCTTCGTACGGCAGAAGGTAGTCGTCTTCTTGTGATTGTGAAAGGCAATCCTGCAGCCACCTAGGCCGTATAATATCCACGCCCCCCAGGTTCTGTCCCTCCTTCACCAGACTGGCCACCTTGACCACATTCTTGTCAGCGAGCAGGATCATGTCTGACTGTGGTACCGCCCGCTGGGAAATCTGCCCGCCATTCTCCTTGATCAACGTCTCGAGCTGCGCCTTGGTCTTCTTGAACGGCTTCAGCGACTCTGAGAGCACGCAGAACTCGAGTCCTTCAAACGCCTTGGTCTTCTCGCCCGCAAACTGCACAGGCGTGTTTTCCGTTCCGGCAATGGTCAACTCCCGCTTGATCCGCTTGGGCGCTCTCCGCTTGCGACTCTCAACGCTCATCGTCTTCTCTTTGGCCTCCGCCTCGACGCGCTTCCGAAGATCCTGGAACTCTTGCACACTAAGCCCTTCATTCCAGTTCTTGTCGAGTCGCAGCTTGCGGAAGCGCGGGAATCGGAGGGTGAACCCAAGGGCGAATTGGTCAGAGCCGCCTATACTTGCTGCTTTCGCCTCGAGGACGAATGAGTCTCTGGGTCGGATCCAGACATCTGGCTTCTCGAACTGGCGGCTGTCTCCTGCCAGCTCAATGTACTCCACTGGTGGCTTTCTCGAGTCCCAGTTGTTCCATTTGCCTTCTGTTCGGTGACGGATCTCGGCGTAGTCCTCGGCCTTGAAACCGCCTCCTACTTTAAAGAAGCTGAAACACTTCTCTGGGTTTGCGCCTGCCTGAATGTGGTTCTCGCTGACACGGAGCCCGCAAAGGAAGCTGGACAAAGCACCGCCGCGGCGTCCGGAGCCGTAGTAACCACCAATCACGACACAGTCCAGCGACTCTCCAAACTCAGACATGTACTCGGGCTTGACCTTTAGCCAGTCGTCGTTGCGGCTGTTGAGACGATACATGGATCTCGGGTTCTTCAGGACCAGTCCTTCGGATGCTTCGGCGACGACCTTTCGGAGGAGTGGCTCAATTGCGTCTGGCGATGTAGCAGTTTCATACTGATGGATCTCAAGCCGGCGATGCACTCCCTTGACGGCTTTCTCCAACGCTCTGTGGCGGTCCCGGAGGGTGTACTGCGTCAACGGCTGATCGTTGAGAAGGAGGATGTCAAACACTCGGAAGAGAGGGCGAGGACCGGTGGTATTGTTGATCTCCTGGTTCGCCAGCGCTGCCGTCTTCAACGTTCCGAAAGGCATTATCTTGTCGACCTCCGGGTCCCATGTGATCATTTCGCCGTCCAAGATGAGGTTGCGTACGCCTGGTGTGAAGGCTTCGCTCAGGTGACGGCTCAATGCACCTTCTCGAAGGTCCTTGCCATACAGGTAAGTGTAGTCTTTGGCCTTTCGCGACCAATAGCAGAACCGAAAGCCACCGGGCGAGCTCGAGTCTTCCATCATGTGCATCTGCATGCGCTCGCCGTCAAGTTTCTCTTCAATCCAGAATTCGGGATCGTCTTCCGTGGGTCGAAGGTAGTCAACCATCTTCTGAAAGGACGATGGCATCTGGAACTGCGCGAGCTGGGGCTGGAAGCACTCCATCAGAGACACACCGGTATCCTGGGACTCCAACCGAATCGTAGGGTCGTGCAGCTCCCAGCAGACACGTCGCAGGCTCGAGGACACACTGAAGAGAGCTTCGCCATCGGGATGCCAAAGGTTCAGCAACGTCCTTTCTGTCGCTCCGACCTTCATCTGCTTGAGAACTATGCGAATGAGCCACATAAGCTCTTCTGCATTCATTCGTTCGTAGAAGGTTTCAAAGACCTCGAGATTCTCCAGTTCTCCTGAAGACGCGGCCAGCTTGTCTAGCAGCTCGTTGACCTCGGCAATCGTCATGTCGCCAACCTCGGTGCGCATGGGTCGCTTTGACAGGACCTCGAAACATCTTCCTGCAAAGTCTCCTGCGAGACGAGATTGTGTAGTGTGGCCAGGAAGCTTCCAGTGTAGCAGGTTGTAGCCGTCTTCGGAGTTCTTGTCGATCTTCATCAGCTTGACGAGAAGCTTGCCGATGGCGTTCTCTTTGAGGCCGTAGACGCCGCGATCGCGGTCCTTGTCGGGAAGAATCAGCCGGAAGGCGGGATAGACGTCGTTTCCGACTTCATTTCTCCATCTAGAGATGAAGCGCTCAATAATATGGCGGCGTTGCTCCTGCGGCGAGAGCTTGGTCGCCTGAGGACCTCTTTTGGAGCGGGGAGGACCTCTTCCAGGAGGCTGTTTCTTGTTCTCGTTCAAAGGATTGAACAAACTCTGGAAGAGCTCTGAGAAGCGCATGGTTTGAGAATGATTGCGCGGGCGGTTGGGGTACCTGAAGTGGTGTGAGCGGATCACAGAAAAGTGCTTGGGAGATTGCCTACTTCTCATCGAGTTCTGCCAAAGTCATGCCGCCAACCGCGTACTGCTTTTCCTCTTCGTCGATCGCCATCGCATCGGGCGAGCGTTGCCGTCTGCGTTGGCTCATGGTGGCTGATGCGAGGTGCTGCACGGCGTTGAAGTCGCAACGGTAAAATTGACTTTGCTATAGGGCTGGACTTGACGCCGTTGGCTTCTGCGCAAAGGTGAATGAACGGAAGAAAAACGCCACAAGCAACTCTGAATCATCCGGGTCGTGTCACGACTTTAAAGGTCGTCGTCGCATGTCGTTGGCTTGAGTTCGAGGAGGCCGGTGCCTGTAGCTCACAGTGGATTGGTTGCCTCGGGTGATGCTGCCTGGAGTGGTTGCAGCAAAAAGGTGCAGGTGGGGCCTCGCTACCAAGATGGCGCTACACTCCGTTGCGTTAACAGCGTCCGCCCCCAAGTTTGACCCAGAAGGGAAATTTTCCGCTAGCCTAGAAACCCCTTAAAACCCCCTAAACTTCACACTTTAATAGCTCTATACGTACACAATACGTACGAATAAAAATTATATTAATCAATAGCCCTTAATTAAGTAATTATAATAATATCTTTTTTATTCTTACGTACTATATATATATAGAGTTATTAGTATATAAAGTTAAAGTTAATTTTAGGAGTTTCTAAGCTAGTAGATACTAAACGTAATACTAAAAAAAAAAAATAAAACCCCTAGCGCGTTATATTAAACTATTTACTTAAAAAACCCCTTAAAATTAGCCTTAACTATACACTTAGATAACTCTATACGTACGTAATATATATAAATAAAAAATATATTAATCGATAGCCCTTAATTAAGTAATTATAACAATATCTTTTTTATTCTCACGCATTACGTACGTATAGAGGTATTAGTATACGAAGTTTAGGGCGATTTAGTAGTTTTTTAGTAAAAAGCCCCTTTTTTTGCCTTTTTCGGGCTTAAAACTGCGGGGTGGACGCTGTCAACGCAACGGAGTGCAAGAGGCTTAAGTGCATGCAGGGACATCCAACGGCTTTTATGCATCAAACCCAAACTTTCACACTGCACAAACAATATCTGGAGTGAAGTCGGGAACCTGGCGGCGCCCTTCTTAATTAACTAATCCTACATTCATGATCTACATTATCATTTCATGTCTCGTTTGCAATCCAGAAACACTTTCGTCATGTGATGACCCAACCCCGGGCGGGCTAGGAATGGACAACCGCGAGAAATCGCTTAGTTGCGACCGGTGTGCTGAGAAGACGTCTCGCTGACGGCCTTCTCGGCATCCCAGCGCTGCTGCATGGGCTCGGTGACGGTCTTCTTGGCAGACTTGCGGCGCCACAGGAAGAAGGCGACGAGACCGAGCATGGAGACACCGGCGATGGAACCGACGACGGCGCCGGCGATGGCACCGCGGGAGAGACCGGAGGACTTGTTGTCGGCGGCGGTGAAGTCGGCAGCGGTGTGGGGGGTGTTGCCGCCGGAGTCGGTGGTGGTGACGTTGACGCTGGGATCCGACTCGACCTCGGGGTCGGAGACGGTGGCGTTGAAGCAGGGGATGGACATGGTGAAGACGTCGACGAAGGTGACGTCGGCGCAGGCGTAGAAGGTCTCGCGCTTGGACTCGTCCTGGTCGAAGTTGGAGACGTAGAGCATGCGGTAGGTGGCGTTGGAGCCTGCGGTGACGCCCGAGGGGGCGGAGGGGACGGTAACGCAAGTGTGGCCGAGGTCGAGGCTGCCGACCTCGCTGGGGCCGAGGAAAGTCTCGAAGTCGGAGACGGACTTGGGATCTGTGAGAGTGTCGGTTCAGGTGCTCTGCCGATTACAAGATGCTTGGATGGGATGGTCTACTAACCGTTCTCGTAGGAGACACTCAGGTGGACGGCA